ACTTGTAGCCTACTATATTTGTTTATTTTGATGAGAGTCTACTGGAAACAACATAAAATTTGAAAGGGAAGAATTGTTCTGTGATCAATTATCTGTCCTAAAGTGTAAATAACATAAAATTTGCAAGGGAACAACTGTTCTGTGATCAATTACCGTATATGGCCTACAGTGTACAGGTAAGATGCTGGCTGACTGCTAACCGGTACTGGTAGCTCAGTACGCAAGTACGATACTGGTACTGGTGCCGGTACCGGTGTCTTACCACAATGAAATTACCGTAACTTATTCTTTCACGGTCCTACCAGTGCAGTAATGCAAGCGTTGTAGCACTTGTAGCCTACTATATTTGTTTATTTTGATGAGAGTCTACTGGAAACAACATAAAATTTGAAAGGGAAGAATTGTTCTGTGATCATTTATCTGTCCTAAAGTGTAAACAACATAAAATTTGCAAGGGAACAACTGTTCTGTGATCAATTACCGTATATGGCCTACAGTGTACAGGTAAGATGCTGCCTGACTGCTAACTCAGTACCGCTTGACACGTTTTTAAAAAGTCGCTTTTCTCTTCGAATACTGGACCAATTGCTTTGAAATTTTTAGTGGTTAAAGATAAAAATTTTCTCCAGAAGGCTATTACTTCTTTTTTCGCTATGACGTCATCAAAATTATGTGACTCTACGTGTCCATATATTTGAGCACAGCTCTCTTGTTTACTTTGGTCCTGCCGCTGATCCGCTCTGCTTGCTGTCGCCATCTTTCTTGCTTGGGCCCTCTGAAATCGCTATTCGTTGTTAATTAACACGCTTAAATTCTTTTCTTCGTTTTTCCCATTTGTACTATTTTTCACAATCCTATTTCTCACTCGTTATCTTTTTTTACTTCGGCCCTTTTTCTTTCGTCCCGTTTCTCGCTATCTTCCGCTCTGATATTTTTTACTTTGGTCCTTTTTCTTGTGTCCCGTTCGCTCGGTTGGATCTTATTGACTTGTGTGAAGTTGGCTCATCATAAGTAAACAGAAGCACTTTCATTATATAATATCGCCCTACTACTGCGACGTTACCGACACTGAAGCTTTTGTATTTATGCTGGTACCGGTATGTACAGTAAGGGTAACGGTACCACTGAAGCGTGAATATGTGGTCTGCTAGACCGGTTCTAGCGGACATGTAATCAGGCCTTAGAAGACCAGTGCGTAACATAGAACGAAAAAAATTAATTCATAGCACGGCTACAAAAGTCCAAAAATAATGATGAATAAAATGATGAAAAAGAAGCGACATCAATTTGTTAGGAGGTGTAGTATTCAACCACCAGGAGTCATCTTTTACACGAAACAACAGATGATTGCCTACAAAACGATTTCCCCGTATGATAGTTTATTTCGACGCGACGGGTAGCATTCTAAGAGGGAACGCTGGAGTGAAAGATTTTCAGATATACACTATATTGGTGAGAAATATCTGCAAAGGAAATTTAGCATTGCCTGTTGCACACTTGTGGCGAACGATCACCATGCACTGACTGACATCGGGCATTTTTTGGAGACTTTTGGGGCTGATTGTTTGCGGTATGTTAACTGCCAACATAAACATTCTATGATCATGATTGATGGATATATGGCAATGTGGATCGCAACACTTAAAGCATTTTGTAATGAAACAAGGTTGGATTACTATAAGCGGTGTTATCGTATCGTAACAGGGTCCGCTACTGTTGAGGATCCGAATCGAACTATTATCCATAATTGTATGAGCCATTCTATGCATGCCGCTATGATTTTATGCAACAAATATTACCACACCAAATATAAGCTTACCGCAATGCATTGGATATACCGTTTCTTCGCTAGTCGAACTATTGCAAGACTAGATGAAATTGTTGAAGGCATAATGATCGTTACGACCTGTGAATACACTTCACCATTCATCAGACAAAAATTTGAATCACTACAGCAAAATTTAACCACCATTCCACCAATAAAAGTTTTGATGATTTCGAAGGAAATGACAACGACCCGGTGCATGCAGATAAAGAAGCTGATTTTGTTGGCGGAAATACAAACAGGCTGTCCAAAACAAAGTCACCATTTTATACAAGATATGTCAACATATCCAAAAACTTTTGCCAACCGGAGGATTACATGAGAGATCTTGAAACCAATAAAAAACGGGCAAAAAACAAATACTTCTCAAAATTTTTTTTTTCAATATTTCTGAAAGTAATAATCAGTAGAATACCCTCAACTTCTGATCGGAGACTTATCCCGCCAAGCAAATGCAACATCTGTTATCGAAACGTATTGAAAATTCTCGGAACAATTTTCAAGGCTTCGACAAGAGGATTTACAAAATATGTATACTGACAATCTCACGCAAGGTATTATTGAGCAGCATTTCGGTCAACTTAAAGGAACATATTTCAAAGGGACACGGTTTTCAAATTTATACAAGTTTACAAAAAAATATCGCAGAGAAATCAAAATATCCGAAAAGCAATTCTCCGACGTAATTCTGCACAAAGGTGGTAAAAAGTCAAGTCTATCTCCAAAAGAGACACACGAAAGAAAAAACAGTATAGCCCGTTAGTCAAATCAAGGTTTAAAAAAAGAAAATGCTTTGGAAATGGCTTTTTTCATACAACGGGTGCTGCCGCCAAAAATATAATGTTCGACAACGTTGTAGAATGTAGAGGATGACGAAGATGTACCTGCAGCTTCCGTATTGAATAGAGCTGTCAATGAAATCGAGTGTACTTTTCTATCGTTGGATAAAAGGAAGAATGACAGCCTGTTAACAGAGCACATGATAAAAAGGAAAGAAAATAAAGAATACCGAATTGTTGCGAAACAGAACATGTCTACCAAATTTTGGACCCGCATCAGACGCTGCTTTTCCGAACATTTCATGCTGCTGCACATGTGTAGAAATACACCAACACTTTCATTAATTGATTCCGCGAATAGGAAAAACGAAACGGTAAATTCGTGTATAAACAAGAACTTCATTCCAATTCTCAAAGAACTGATCAAATTTAACCAGCATCGTAGGTGCATCGTCCAACAAGACACTAGTAAAAGCTGTGGTACATGCGTGTGTATGTGCTTGGATATAATTAGTTTCCAATATACTGATAGATATTTGACATATAGCTTGGAAAATTATCGTCATCGGATATTATTGGCTCTTTGCTTCTGAAGTGATAAATGTGACGTTCCAGTGAAAGATGCATTTTGCAGTATATTTCGTAGTCATATTTTCATGGGCCTGCAAAACGTTGGGAATACGTGTTTGTTCAACAGTGTACTACAGGCGTTAAACTATTGCCAATCGAAGCATGGTATTGTGGCGGGACTGGAGTTGTACTATTTTTTATTGTTTATTATTTTATTTATATTTCTTGTCTGGTTATTGCATATGCATTGGTGTGTGGAGTCGGAGCCCTAATTCGCCCATCAGTTGTATTCAGTTACTCTACTCCAACCACCACTGCATATGTGAACTGCTTCGGATTCGCAGTGTCTTTTTGCTGTCGCTCTTATTTTATCTGCTTTAAGCGTGGATTTTACATTATTTCGTTTGCATCGTGAACTTCGAACCTATTTGTGTGTCTTTGCAGCACATTGGATCTTCTGAACTAATTATTACAGTATTACTAGACTGTATTAGTGGCGAGCACCTACCGGTATTCCGTTTAAGTCGTACCGTTGCAGTATCTCAGTAATTTGGAGCGAACTTTCGGGGGACATGCAAAATATAAAAAATTATGTTTCAATCAATGTCAAATCTGCATCGGATGAAACCCGAATTTTTAGAAAACGCAATGACTAACGTTTGCAGAAACCTCGGCTGGGAATTTGGCCTTCAATATGACGCTCAAAAGTATTTGGCAGTATCTGACATTCTGTCCATATTTCACCAGTCTGGGATTTATAACGAATTGGCTCTTCAAGAGATAAAGACGTAGGTGTCGCTGCCTGAAGACCTCTAGAGGTCTCTCGCGACTCCTGTCACACAATTTAAGTTAGTTTCCACTTGTATTTGTAATATTTTTTCATATATCGTACCATGTTTAAATTGTGTTGACGAATAAATGATGATTGATTGATTGAGACGTGTAGTATATACAACAACAAAAATTCGAGTTTATGCAGCGTATCAAATATACTCTTTATTCCAATGTTTGACGAAGTTCCTGACAATTCAAGCATTTTGGATTACGTTAATTATTGGACACGAAGTGGACATAACGATCGTTTCAATATTATGTTGTTGTTCTTGTTCTTTGACACGTTTTTAAAAAGTCGCTTTTCTCTTCGAATACTGGACCAATTGCTTTGAAATTTTCAGTGGTTGAAGATAAAATTTTTCTCCAGAAGGCTATTACTTTTATTTATTTTAAAATTTCCTGTGGACTTCGAGAGATTCGTTTTTTTTTTTTTTTTTTTTTTTTTTATTAGATTTTCATAAAATAAAATAATATTGAATTAATCAATATTAGAAGATAAATAATACATTCATGAAAAGTAATATTTCACACTGTTTGAAATTGTAATCTAATAGTATGGTATGAGTAAACAGAAGATTGGAGAAATTTCACATTTTATCTATATACTATACAATCAATTACTAAATAAAATTATATTGAAATAAACAATATCAGTAATACAGTCATGGAGAGTATCACAATGTTTGCATTCGCAATCTAATTATGTTATTAGAAAACTGAGAAAATCTGATATTATATGTATATACCATACAGGGGCAATCATTTAGCAAAAAAAATCTCACATTTTAGGTATATACCATATAAGGGCAATCATATAGCAAATAGAATAATATTGAAATAACAATTTTTAATTCAGCAATACAGTTATAAAAGGTAATTTCTCACAATGTTTGCAATTGTAGTCTAGTAATGTTATAAGAAAACAGCAACATATCACATTTTATGTATTTAAGGAAAGAAAAACAATAATATGTAATTAAATAGAAAAAAGTCACTTGATCGACTATTATATAAATAAATGCCACTTTCTTTTGTGTATCAGGATTTTACTAGTTTTCATTGCTATATATTTCTCGTTGTCACGAATATCACGAATAAATTTATAAAAAACATCAAAATTTGGTTTTCGTTTCTGGATCCGGCATCTATATATAAAGAAGCGGGCAGCCAATAGTACACAATTGATGAATTGTATTTCAGGAATGTCATCAAAGCCCATAAAACATTCTTTGATGGAAAGATCAAAATTAAAGTTATCTGTCTTAAAAACAATCCACTGGTCTATCTCGGACCAAAATTTACTAGTTATCTCACAATAATAAAATAAATGCAAAAGGGTTTCGATATGTAATTTACAAAATTCACACAAGTTTGATTCTACTATCCCAAATCCATATAAAACATTATTCAGCGTTATAGCTTTATAAAACAGCTTCATTTGAAAAGATCTCAGCTTTGTCTCAATAGTTGATGAATATGAATTTATGAAATATTTATTCCACTGTACACTAGAAATATTGAAAGATTCTTGCCAAAAGGACTTGTACATGTTTGGAGAGACAAACTGTTTCATTATTATTATTTTATAGGTATTTTTGCACGAATAATTTTCAGTGGTGGTTGAAAGAAATTCACTAAAATCAAAGTCACAAATTTCAACATATGATTGCACAATGTCATTCCAATCCTCAGGAATACTACCTATGATTTTGTGATAAGTTCTATAATCATCAACATTATATTGCATGCTATATTCTTCAAGTAGCTCAAAATAAGTATAGAAAGTATTATGAGAAATTAAATGTCTCAATTCAGAAATGCCATGTTCTTTCCATGTAGAAATATAAAAAGGTTTTCTGCTATATTGCAACTTTTTATTGTACCAGATCGATTGATTAAGTATAGGCACATTCAAAACAATATTCTTATACTTATACCAGTATAACATCATGTTTCGAATAGTGATAAATGGAATATTTTTCATAAAATGGGAGTTCCAGAATAAATTCCCCTTTAACAAGGATGTGAAATCAAGATTCTTCAAATAATTAAGTTCTACAAGCTTCCATTTACAAACTTTGGTATCATCCAATAAAAACCCCACCCACTTAATTTTTTGAGCTATTATAAAACTATGGACATCAATCATGTCAATACCACCCAACATTTTTGGACTAATTAGTGTTTTTCTTTTGACTCGCTCCCACTTAGAATTCCATAAAAAATGATATAGTGCAGCGTTTAGTGATTTAATATATCTGTCTGGAATGAAAACAGGTAAATAAGTAAAACTGTAGGTGAAAAGCGAAGCAATTAGTGTCTTAATTATACACACTTTACCTAGTAGTGTAAGATTCCTCATTTTCCACACTTGGATAACATTTTTAGCTTTAATTATGATTTGAGGGAAGTTTACTTCAAATAATTTTGACAAGTCAGCAGGGATATTCACTCCAAGAAATTTTAATGAGTCAGTCACTTCAAGTCTAAAATTTGAAATGTAATCCATGTTTATAGGTTTTCCAATTTGCATTATGTGTGATTTCTCCAGATTAGTTTTACATCCAGAAATATCACCGAAAACATTTAAAATATTAAACAGGTTTTTAGCACTGGTACTTGATCCATCTGTAAACACAGTTGTGTCATCAGCCGCCATTGCTATTTTGACAGTCGAATCGCCAATTTGTATTCCCTTGATTCCTTCATCTGCTCTGACCATAATTGCCAAAATTTCTATGCAGCTCAAAAAAAGGTATGGAGAAAGTGGATCCCCTTCTTTTAAGCCTCTTTGTAATATAAAGTTGTTGGATATGTAGTTGTTATTTATAACACAGGATGTGCTGTCTTTGTACATGATCTTGATCCAAGATATAAAATTTCGCTGAAAGCCAAATTTTTCAAGAACGCTGAATAAAAAGGGCCATTCAACACTATCGAACGCTTTACAAATGTCCAAATTAAAAATTGCACCAGGTATATTATGATGTGACGTATAATTTACCAAATCACATACCAATCTAATATTTTCTCCCATTTGCCTGCCTTTGAGAAATCCTCTTTGATCTTCATTGATGATATTATTCATTACTTTCTGCATTTGTGTAGTCAATAATTTACTTAAAATCTTATAGTCCACATTAAGCAATGTAATGGGTCTATAGTTTTTGATATAATTCCTTTCTTTATTCTTCTTCAATATTAAAGAAATCAATCCACTGCGTTGGCTATCACTAAGTGTTCCTGTAGACCAAGAATAATTATAGGAGTTCAATAGAGGAACCTTGATTTCATCCCAGAACTTTTTGTAAAATTCACAAGGAATTCCGTCCATGCCCGGGCTTTTATTATCTTTCATTGAAAAGAGTGCTTTCTTACAATCGGCCATTGAAATCGAGCCGTCACATTTTTTAGATGTTTCATCTGCCGTTTCTGGAATGTTTAAGTAAATTAAAACATTATCAATATCGTTTTCCTGTGGCATATTTGAACAAAAAAATTTTTCATAGTAATTACATATTTTGTTTAATATAATCGTTTGATCTGTCTCTGTATGATTGTCGATTGTTAGTCTTGTAATAGATGAATTTGACTTTCTCCTCTTTTCTAATCCAAAAAAATATTTGGAGTTCTTTTCACCATTTTCAGCCCAATTAGCCTTACTTCGTATGATGCATCCTCTAGTAATATCTTGATACAAATTGTCATATTCCTTTTGTTTCAGCAACAGATTGTTGTATGTCTGCTCAGAGTTATCTATTAAGAGTAGTGTCTGCAAATTATTCATGTCGTTTTCTATCTTAGTCATCAGTTTATTTCTTTGTCTTTTTTTTCTGCATGAGTAAGCAATAGTTTCTCCTCGAATTACGCATTTTAAGGTGTCCCAAAAAAGATGAGGATTGACAGGCTGATGAGAATGATCATATATGGTATTAGATATAACAGTTCTTATTGAATTAACATAATCTTCATCATAGAGTAGGCTGCAATTAAATTTCCAGTATCCACTACCACGTGGTGTTGGGTTGAGCTGAAGATCCAAAGTGCAAAGGGAATGGTCAGATCTTATACTTGGTACAATATTACAGGCTTTTACTTTTTCCAAAAGAGTATTTGATAATAAAAAAAATCAATTCTGGTAAGAATCTTAGCTGGTTTTTGTAGATGTGAATAAGATTTTTCTGTAGGATGAGTTATACGAAATGCGTCACATAAATCATATTCACTTATTATATTCAGAACAGTTTCTCTAGATTTTTGATTACTATGTATCGTCCTTCCACCATGTTTGTCCAAGTTATTATTCAATACAAGGTTGAAATCGCCCCCAATTACTAGGTGATCATATTCAATATTATCTAAAACTTCAATCAATTCTTCGAAAAATTCAGGCTTGTCCACATTGGGACCGTATAGATTTAGAAGACCAATTTTTTCACCTCCAATAGTTGTTTCCAGAGCAATGTATCTTCCATTTGAGTCTATTAGTGTTTTATGTATACTATAATTGACATTTATGTTGAACAAAATTGCTACTCCATAGGATTTACTTGTATGATGGCTGAATACACCAGTACCTCCCCATTCTTTTAACCATAGATTTTCATCTTTATCTGTTCCATGAGTTTCTTGCAAGAAAATCATGTCTAGTTTTTTTCTTTTGAGGAATGTAAAAATTTGTTTCCTTTTTTCAAAGTTTGCTATTCCCCCTGTATTGAAGGAACCTATATTTAGTGCTGTACTATCCATTAGTCAGAGAATCACAATTATAGTTTGCTTGGTAATTACCACAGGTACATGAAGGACCATTTTCTGCTGCACTTATTATACCACAGGAACAAAAAGTTATTATTTGATTGCAATGAACATTATCACATTTTTTAAACATACCTTTTACAGGTGGCATGATTAATGAGGAACAATGGCATTTGATGTAGACAGTTGAACAGGTTTTGCACTTCAGTAAATTATTTTCCCATTCACTTATTTCTAAACAGCAAGGTGAATAATTGACTAATTGCTGGCACAAGTTGCAAGGAATAGGGGTATTGATATTTGCCACGTCTTTGGGTAGAGCAAAATAACCATCATTCTGACAGCACTGTTTGAGAATCAAATTCGATGTGCTACAGTATTCACACATGACCTCTTTTGATTCATCAGAGAGTATTATTTCTGATCCGCATTTGGCACACATTAGAAGTTTACTGGTTTCCTCATCTATCATATTTACCTCATGTCCATCACTTGATACATTGTCAAATTTTCGTTGGAAACGGGGTTGTTCGTTTGGACTGTCTGAATGAAGACGCTTTTGTTGTCCGACTAAGAGACTTTGATTTTCTTGCATTTTGGTTGACTGTGACGTCTTGGGTGTTTCGATAATGCTTTTCGAATTGGGTAGTGTATGGTTTGATGTTTCTGGTGTTATTTGCAAAGAGGCTTTCTGTTTATTTTCTTCCTGAGTAGATAATGAAACATTAGACAAATTGATAACCTGTTCAATTCGATTTTGTTGATGTTGAGACTTTGGAGGAAGCTTATCTATATTTACAATATCTTTTAGTGCAGTGATTTTGCTTTGTTTTTGCATTCTTTGTCTGTTCTCTTGGTTTTGGATTCTCAGTGGACAGTCAATTTTAAAATGCTCAAACGAACCACACTGCTTACACGTTTTTCTTTGACCATAATATTTAACTGTAAGCATGTACCCATCAACATATATATAGCTTGGTATTGGATTTTCATTGAGTAATTTAGGTTGTATTTGAACATTCATGGTTCCTTGTCCTATTCCATCTTTATCTTTTGATTCAGAAACCTCTGAATCAAATTGAACATGTTTAAGCAAAGCAGTTTTTATCATACTTGTAGTTAGGTGACCTGGCACCCATGATATGTCAACCCTAACCTTTTCAGGCTCATATAAATACCACTTGCATTCAGGTATAGGGTGAGATTCCAAAAACGTTGATAACTTCAGTACCGCTGCTCTTGAAATACACGTTACATCGATAGAGTTATATGGCCTGACTGCAATGGTTTTAACATGATTCTTAGTTAAGCATTGTAAAATAATGTTTTTCGCTGCATTTCTGAAGCCGTCTTCGAATGGTTTTTCTCTCGAAAATTGCATATGCAGACAATGTGGTCGTCGAATTTCCCTTGTATTAATTTTGTCTCTGAGTGGCGGAATAACGCCAGATTGACTTTTCAAAACGTCGGAGTAAGAAGCCGCCATGTCTCACGCTGCTTGACGATCAACTGCCTCGTAACAGGCTATCGATTATTCGTTTTTTGTGTTCAAAGAAGTGATCAGAATAAAAAATAGTGACACCTTGTGGCGATTGCGCGGAGGCATATCAACTGAGAAGCGATCGTAATTCTTGCTCCGCTAAGAGTTGTTTATGGGGAATCGAGATGTTTGGGGTTATCGGTACCCGCAATGAAAGGTTTTTGAGGTACTGTTTCGCTCGGTGTTCAATCAATCAATCAATGTTCACTTTCCATATATTTCAGTATTTGTAGACTGTGGTTCCCGTGTTAAGCGAAAGTGATGAAAGCTATGACAGTCCCTGTGGCCTGTACGGCACGTACCGGTACCGTTTACAGGTTTACGTACCGTCTTACCGATACCGGTACCGTAGTCCGTTACGGTACGTACCGGTACAGCTGTACAGGTACGATATCGGTAGACTAGTACAGTGTTACTGTACTAGTTGCATTAATTATATTTGTTTAGAGTGTGTGCCTGCATTGAAATTAAGTTTTTGTAATGAGCCAGCATGTCTGCACAGCTGCTATGCCTTTCTGATTTTTCGCTGTTCCGTTACATTTTTTTGGAAACAACATTTGCATAAATACGTATGGTACCGTATGCAGAGGAAGGAACTTCACAAAAATTTCAACATGTGCAGCAGGTTAGTGTACATAAATCAGTAAATACGCAGAGGAAGAGACTTTACAAAAAGGATAAGATTTACATAATTATCCCGATGGAGAGGAAAGCCTATAGAACGGCTTAACCATATTGCGAACCACAGCCTCTTGTCTGGTTACCGGTAAGGTACCATTCCAAGTCTGATATGGCTGTATGGGATTAGTTATATTGTTCAGTTTTATCAATATAAATTGATCGATAGCCTACTCACCTATTTTAAAAATCAAATTGTTGCAATTTGCAGATGTGAGAATGAAATATATGACCACTGTACAGTCAATGACGTAGGTATGTGCCAAATCATATCAAGTTTATTTACATGTTTACTCTTACTGCATTTGCAGTCAAATTAACTTATTCCATTTTTTTGTACGCTTGCACAGCTGCAATGTTTA